CAATTAAAAAATGTTTGTACTCTAGCCCACAAACCAGGATAAAGTGCAGGTGGGTACCTGCTTTGGCGGCCTCCTGGGACGGTGCCAGCAACCCCCAGGGAGCAGTATCGCAGCAACCCCCACGCCCACTCTGACCCTAAAATCTCATTCCTTTAAATGGTGTGCTCATTTTCACCCACCACATTTTGTTTTATATCTTTATAATTGGTCAAGTATTCTCTTCCTAGTTCTTTAGAAACCACAACCGGTCAAAAATCTCCTTTCTTGGAGTAATGCCCTAATTCTTGTAGGAATTACTGAAGTCCTATCTCCTATTCAACTTTGCTTCTCTAGTATCTAGCACAGGGAAAGGACTTCATCATCCTTGTTAATTAGACGGATTTAATTTAATAAAGGCTAAAGTACAACCATTCCCCTTGGTTGAATTCGGTGACCTCTGCTTTTGACGATTATTTGCTAAAGTGACTTAAAAGGTGCTTTCCTGCAATGTAAACAAAGAACTGTTGACCTGGTTTGGGTTTTAAGGAAACAAAAAGATTTTTTTTAAAAAATTTTTTAAAAGCTAAGAGGAAAGTACTAGAGAGAAGTTGAGATATTAAGAGACCAAATGATAAGACTTATTTGACTGCTTTTGCTTCAATTCTCCAAAGGACCGGATCTTCGGACTAGAAGGGGCTGGTGAGGCAGGAGAGGGTGAAATTGACACCCACAATAGAGGAAGACTTCCCTCACACTAGCATTCAGCTCAAACCCACAGGACCTGGACAACGGCACCGTCAACTACTAAAGAAACACGCCGCGCTCATGTCTGAACTATTGCAGCTTAGAATGCAAGCTGTAGGAAAATACTAGAGATAAGCCAATGTCTCCATTTTCAAAAGAAATGGGTTCTAGAAATCAAAGAGCAGTAATCCCCTCACAAAATCTCCCCATTATTAAACAAAAGTAGGGTAACAACAAAGCCTCCAATTCCCACTAGGAGTTCCCCAAGTCCTAAATGCACGGCAGGACCAGGAGAACTCCATTGCCATTAGGGACCCAGACACTGGATTGGACCGGGGGACCCAGGGCCCATCATCTTCCTCAAGAGGCACTGGGGTGGGAGTCGTGGGCTCAGGTCTGGTCTCCACTTGCTGGCTGTGACTTCGAGGGAGATACAACCTTCTGTGGACTCCGTTTCCTCATCTGAATTCGAGTTGTGGGGACTTAAAGAGGCCCAAGGGTTGCAACGTGAAAGAATAAGTCTTGAAAAGCCAGACAACTATGGGTTTCAATCCGGGAACCCATATGACATCCTCTGAGCCTGCTCCCTTTGGTATGCTGTGGGGGCAATGCCAACTGTGGTAGTTTTCTGAAGTTTACATGCTGAGAATGCAAGTGAACGCTCTAGTAAAGGAGAGTCATTTTCTTAATGTTTGATAAACGTTGAGAGCCTTCCCTCTAAAATGTCAGTTCTCTTTCCAGCTTTTAGAACGGAGTCCTCAGAGTTACTGACCGAAACTCATAAAAAGCTACCGCAGCTGCCTTCAAGATCCGCGGCTCAAACCTACCAGCCCTTCCGTGGGATAAAGATGAGCTGTCTGCTCCAGTAAAGATGGACGTCTCAGAAACCCCAGGGAGCAGTTCTACTCAGTCCTCTAGGGCTATGTGGAACAGATTTGCGGGCAGCTGCCTGCGGCCAGAGATGCACAGAAAGGATTCTCGGGGCAGGTGTGGTTTATGACAGTCTTTCATGAAGCCTTATTGATAAAGATAGAAGAAGGGGGGCGGGTCTAACTTGCAAAAGTGTTACAGGGAGGGTGACCATATATCATTGTGAGCCTAGGACAGTCCTGCCTTATACCCCTGTCTCGCATCATGCCTGGGTTAACACTTGTCCCAGACAAATGTATTCTGGTTTGTAGACTGAAGGACACTGGTGGCAGAGTGGTTATGTGCTGGGTCGCTACACACAAGGTCAGTAGTTCGAAATCATCCGCCGCTCCGCAGGAAAAAGACAGGGTTTTCTACTCCTGTAAAGAGTTAGTCTTATAAACGCATAGGGGCAGTTCTAGTGTGTTGTACACTACAGAATCTATAGGGTCGCTGTGA